TATATTTAATATGTTCAGATTTTTCTTATTCCACTCCCTAAAAATACAGTATAACAATCACTTATGTATTATATACATTGTATTAGGTATTATAAGTAATCTAGAGATGTCATTTACATAAGAAACCTGAGCATTCCAGGATGCTAGTATCTACAGATGGTCCCGAAAAGCATCTTTCATGGACAGTGAAGGATTACTATATTCTTGACTGACTTTCTGGAGGATTTATTATCTATATCACTCATTTGGTGTGTAAAACACTACCTTGTCTTATCTGGGCATGAAAGAATGTTTCCTTTCTGTCCAGTGGAATCTGATAATGGTTGTGCCCTAGAAGTTATTTAAGGTGTCTTTTTCCCAGTCCTGATGTTCAAGATGGAGACTTATATCTGTCTTGATTTTTATAAACCAAAGTAAACAATAAAATAAACAAGCACACTACCCTGTTCCAAATCCATTAGGTTGATTTGGGGTTTTTGTATCAAAAAATATTTTTGAGTAAGTACTCTAGGGTAGGCATTGTATGAAATGCTGCAGACAAAACAAGAATAGGACCTTTGTTTTGCTATCAGGAAGTGTATATTCTGGTGTGGGAACAGACAGACACATGGTTATAATACTGTGGGATATGTATCACAACACAAGCATAGGACACTAGCAGAATATAAGAGGAGCAGTAACACTGTCCAGGGAAACCAGGGAAGTTGTGCAGAGTTAGACCACCAAGAGCTGGAATGCGGGGATGAATAGGAGCTGCCCAAGCAAATGTGTGTGAATATGTGTAAGAGGGATGGGACTAGAACTTCAGACACAAGGAACATGGAGAGAAGCAAAATGTGGTCTGCTAAAGAACAAAAATAGTTTACGTTGGCTGTAACAGAGGCAGCAAGGCATGGCATGACAAAAGTTAAGGTTAGAAGAATAATCAGGGGTTACAATAAATGAGCAAGCATCCAAAAAGGCAATGAGGAGAATACAGATAGATCAAACTAGCATTTTTAAAAACGTCACTTTAGCAATAGTGCTACAGTGTGAGGGGAGGGGCTGGAGGGCAGTTGATAGCTCATATGGGAATCCAGCAAGCAGATGATGGTGGGAGTAGCACAGGAGCACAGCAGTGGTAGTAGAGATGAAAAAGCCGGTATGTTTTAGACCTGCTGAAGGAGGAAGGTGAGGACCAAGAGTGCCTAGGGAGGGAGAAAAAAAAAAAAAAAACAAGTGACAGAAAAGCTAATATTGAAGATGTACCAGTCAGTTCTGTGTCCAGTGAAAAAGCACTTGACATAAGCAACTTGCAAAGAGGACAGATTTATTTTGGTTCACAGTTTCAGAAGCTGGAAACCCACAGTCAGCTGACTCCACTGTTGTGGGCTCGAGGTGAGACAGGACACTGTGCTATGAGGCAAAGATGCTCCTCTCACAACAAGCACGAAGTAGACACAGAGGGAGCCAAGTCAAGAGAGGAAGGAGCGGGGCCAGAAATGGTACCCGAGGTCATGCATCTCTGACCTACTTTCTGTTACCATTGCTCTGGATAATGCCATCCAAGTATGATCTCATCCGTGGATGAAGCTACTGATGAACTTAAAACCTCAGGCTCCACCCACTTCTCCAGGCCTCCTTTCTGAACAGTGCTTCACTGGGGAGCAGAGCTTCAAGACACGAGTTTTTGGGGAACACCTCATACTTAAACCATAAGAGACGGGAGCTAATGTGCTCAATGTCAGCCATGTTTAGCTTGGCATACTCCACCTGGGAACACTAGGCAGCAGTGTCTTGGGGATCGGTTGTTTATACTGACCTGAACTTGAGGAGAAAAATTTCTACCTGAGATTTGTAACTTTAGGACTCCCTGAGTTAAACGAGAAGAATCCATGTAAGTTGAGAAAGACCAAGGAGCAGTTTGCATAGACTAAGATGCTAAAATCAGGCTAAAACTCAAAGAATCAAAATGTTTAAATAATAGTCTAGAAGGTTGCACAAAAAACTGAGCCCAATAATATTGTGATCCCTCAAGTAAGGTCTTTCATGCCATAAGATAGGCAAAAGGAAATGGAAAAGAAAATAGTGTAACATGGGTGAGCAACAGTGTTACATGTTGCAAGAGACAGGTTTGGATTCGACTAGACATTTTCTGTTTTTACTTTTGTATTTATCTAGTTGTGATTGGTACAACATAACAGTTCTCAAGCTCTTTGTGGATCCACAGGATTTTTTAACTGGGTGGTTACACATGAATATTTACTATACCAGAAATTAAACAAAATTTTAAACATTTGTATTGACTCACTTAAAATAATAGCTCTATTATTGTTGTAATGGAAATGTTTATGAAAGTAGATTTTATTTTAATTTTTTTTCCGGTACCAGGAATCGAACTCACGACCATGCACTTGCAAGGCAGGCGCTTAAGCCGCTGAGCTAAATCCCCAGTCCCAAAAGTTGCTTTTAAAAAAAAATAACTAAGCTGGGGATTTAGCTCAGCGGCATAAGCACCTGCCTTGCAAGCAGGCTGTCCTGAGTTCGATCCCTGGTACCGATAAAAAAAGAAAAAGAGAAAAAAAAAATAAAATAAAATAAAATAAAATAAAAAAATAAAAAAATAACTACTTTAAAACAAAAATTAATGAGAAGAGTGACTGCTAGGCATTTTATCAAATCTGATATGTAGCTTAATAGAAAACAGCTGAATTTGCATATTGTTTCTTCAGTCTGTTTTGATACCACATATAATGTACCCTCTGGAAGCCTGCAGGGTTATTATGAGCTGGTAAGCTGTTTAACAGTAACCTTTTAAATAATTACACAAAAAGTTGATTTGAGGACACCCTCTCCCCAAGACCTCTAGGAATCTGGGGACTCTACTTTTAGAATCACTGCCCTAGACCACAGACAAACTTCACAGCAGTTAAAACCCTAACTAAAATCCTGATGTTATGGCCAAATGTAAACTATAGACTTGATCGAGATTTCAAGGACTGTTTTCTGAGGTTGAAGTTGACTCACAACATCATTCTTCAAGGTTAGGAACAGACTCTAGAACATTTAGTCAATTTAATTAATTCACCAGATATTTATAAAGCATATATTATGTGGTAAGGATGCACTAGTACTGAGGCAGATACATCAGTCAACAAAGAAGTAAAAAAAATCTCCTTGTTCTGAAGGGACTTCTCTTTGGGGAGGATTAGACAATGAACAAATTAAACAATAAAAAATAATTTCAAAAAGTGATGAAGTGTTATGCAGAAAAATAGTGCCAAGAGATATAGGGAATGCCACAGGGATCTGGACATTTTAGAAGTCTAGACAGGAAAGTAATTTCATTAAGAAATCAAAATTTATGTAAAGACCTGAAGGAAGCATTTGGTTACCTGATGAAGAGCTATTCCTCAACTTATTCTAAGTTATATATCATATATATATATATATATATATGCATATATATTGAAATGTTTGTTGCATAGGGCTTAGCTTCAAGCATAGGAAAATAAGACATAAGAACTAATGTTTCTCTAGTGCCTGCCACATATCAGGAACTTGGCTAGGTATTATATATAAAGTTTGGTACCTTTACTAAGATTTATTTACAATTTAGTGAAAGAGACAAGGTACATACGTAGAATTCTTGTAATCATGTTGTCCAAGTTCTTTTGAGCAGGAATATTTGGTTTGAAGTTGCACCTGATTTAAGTCTACATCTCCCTTTCAAGATGAATTAACATGGAAGGATAATTTTCAGTCTAATCTTAGAAGGTAACACTTAAACACCTGTTCATATGTTTTGTAAAGCACTTTAGTTAACTTAGTCTTTATAGTTTTAGTTAACTATAGTCTTTATAAGAGATGGGGAAACAGTCTGGGGAACTAGTGTACTGAGCAAAACAAGACGGTATTACGACACATACAATGGTTCCCTACCTGTTACATGTCAAATGTGACAAATTCGTGGCAACATCTAGAAATGAAATCCCAAACCAAAGGAGGGGGTTAGGAGAGGTTTTTTTTTCTCTGTCTTTTTTTGAGATGGGGTCTCACCATGCAGTTCAGGCTGGCCTTGAGCTCACTTTGTAGCCCAGGGTGGTCTCAAACTTGCAAGGATCCTCCCACTTCAGCCTCTAGTGCTGGGATTACAGGCTTGAGCCACCATACCCGGCTTTTTTTTCTGTCTTTCTGAGATGGGGTCTCTCTGTGCAGTTTAGGCTGGCCTTGAGTTTACTTTGTAGCCTAAGCTGGTTTCGAACTCTCAAGGATCCTCTTGCCTCAGCCTCCAGAGTGCTGGATTTACAGGCGTGAGCCACCAGGCCCGGCTTCAATTGGAAACTCTTGGTTTCTAGTAGGGGTTCCCTAGCCTCCCCATCCAGGGCTAATGCTAGACAAGCAGAGCACTTTAGTTGCTAAATTGTTTAGTGGCCACCTATCTCAGATGGCTCTGTGGATGTGAAAGGACCAATTGGAACTCAGGCTTCTAGCCCAGTTCTTAAACATACAGGGTTTAAGGGAAACAAATTTTAAGAGGAAAAAGCCAGTAATCTTGCATTTTAAATTCCTCAAAGCTCAGATCTTAGTAGAGAGTCGTTGTACCACTCTTTAGCAGGCAGTGGCCCGCATTTCATATTGCCTGCGAGAGTTCATTCTTTGTCCAAAGTCCCTGTTCCATCTATTGTATTTTAATACTTATCAAGATGGCTGGTCACTCAACTCAGTAAGATAAACTTTTTTACAGAGGAGTTGAACCTATATTTCAAACAATCTGCTTCCAAAAACAATGCACCGCGAAGCAGCTGTCAGGAGTAGCTGCTGAAACAAGAGAACTTCCTACTCACTCCCCAAACTCCGTAATTTTAGGATTACTCAGCATAAACCTCAGCACTTGCAATAACACCAGCCAACTCATGAACAGCGAACCCTAAAAGCGCATGCGCCCGAAGACGCCTTTGTACCGGAAACACTCCTGAGCCCCTGGGTGTGCGCAGGCGCAGAGTTGCCTGGAGGCGGAACTGGGTCGTCGCGGCGTCCGCGATCTAAACACTCCGCATACTAGGAAAGTGGTGTTGCGCATGCGCGGCTTGCTCTGGGCGAGAAGGGTTGAGAGGCGCACACAGTGGCCGGCCGCGCTTAGGGCTGAGACCGTACAGGATGGACGAGGACGTGCTGACCACTCTGAAGATCCTTATCATCGGCGAGAGTGGGGTGGGCAAGTCCAGGTGAGGCGCGTGTGTGGGCAGGGGAGAGGACGGCTGGGCTCCTGCAGTTTTCAGACCCCGGGCGGAGCCGGGGCCCGGGCCGGGCGTACCCCGCTGACGCTGTTCTCAGCCCCCGTCGCCGTCCGCGCTGGCCCCGGCCCTGCTCCCGCGCCCGCTGGCCCGGCCTAGCTCTCGGACAGCCGTCTTTCCTGTCACACGTAAAAAAGCCCAAGGCCTAACCCCGGCCGGCCGGTCAGCTGCCGCGGAGCCAGGGCGTGGCGGCGGCGGCGGCCGTCCCGGGGCGGTGTGGCGCGGGGTGGCTGGGGCGCCTCTCCCGGGCCCGAGGCGCCCCGTCCGTAGTTAGTAGTTGTGACTGTGCGTTTTGGGGGCTTCCGGTGGACATCTCTAAATACGTGGGGAGCGATGTGCTCCGCAAGTTTCAAGACGCCTTGGATCACATTCCTGGCCTGTTGGGGCCCGGCCGGTTGTTGCGTCTTTGTGTTTTTAATTAGTCAGCTGTGAAAACTCGTCTGTCTGGAGACAGCCAGAAAAAGTCGCTCTGAAGCACGAGGTGCGAGTGCTTTGAAAAAGCGAAGTCTTGTCTTTTTGCCACTTTGTCGTAGGGAGATGAACAGACACAGTGGCATTGTCTTGTACTCTTCGACTGTTTAATTGGGGATTGACAGTAGTTAGAGCTGAGCTCTGGGTGGAGTGGGGGCGGTCAAGGACATGTTGACCACTCTGAAGATCCGTTTTATGGGCAAGAGCGTGTTAGGTAAAATACGGAACTAGGTGAGTGTTGCCAGAGGCTTGTGATTTCTTCCATGTCTTCGAACAAAGTTCTCCAGGTGGAATCACCTTTGCCATCTGATTTTTGTTTTTTGTTTTTTTTATGAGGACTTTCGCTATGTAGTTCAGGCTGGCCTTGACCTCACTTTGTAGCCCAGGCTGGCCTTGAACTCTCGGTGATCCTCTTGCCTCAGCCTCCCATGTGCTGAGTTGACAGGTGTGTACCAGCACTGCGGCTGCCATCTGATTATGAGTGGGTTAGGTTCTGGATTGTCTTGACCTTTTAAAGTAATATTTAAAGTTCCAGTCTGCAAGCAGTTTCATGTTTAACTGTGCCTCCTGATACCCATACCTTTTTCTTTTCTTTTTTTCTTTTTGTCTTTTTGAGACGGTCTCGCTATGTAGTTCAGGCTGGCCTTGAGCTCACTTTGTAGCCTAGGCTGATCTCGAACTTGCAACAGTTCTCCTGCCTCAGCCTCCTGAGTGCTGGGATTACATATTTTTGTCTTTTTTCTTTTACCTATGTTTTCCAAAGAACTTTTTAAGTCATAAAGTCTTACTTCTTAAGATACTTAAAACATTTGAAAGTTTATTCTGTAGTGAATTCTAAAACTTTACATATTTTTAAAGCATTTGTTCAGTCGTTTTCATTTTTCTCATTTGATGTGCTGTTTGTACACTAGTCTGAAAGATTTGCCTATTCCCGGTAAAAGACTAATGAAACACTATGGTGAATGTACCCGTATGATTTGTATGTATATGTATGTTAAAGGAATGAATAAAGTCATTTTTTTCATCATTAACCCTTTTTGTACATATTTGAAGGTTGATACATTAATTAATATCTTCAATATTGTTTTACTAGCAGTTCCGTAGTGTGGTGCTTTTTTTTTCTCCATCTTTCCTTGAGAAAGCACCATCTCCAGCTTTTCTAGCTCCTTTCTCCATCTTTCCTAGCTTAAGGGATATCAGAATGCTGTTTTTGAAATCAAGAATAATTGGTTGTCATTTCAGGTGATTCATCCCAATGCATGACTAGTTGAGAGCAGTATGTTCAGTGGATAATGAATAAGTGTATTAAACTTTTCTGGAAGATTAACTGGAGGTACAGTGAGCTGGAGTAGATAATCGAAGTCTTCCTTTTAGAGTAAAATTAGATAAGTGAATTTCTTTTCTTTTTTCTTTTCTTTCCTCTTTTTGAGATAGGTTTTCACTATGCTGTTCAGCCTGACCTTGGGCTCACTTTGTAGCCCAGGCTGGTCTCCACCCTGCCTCAGTGAGTGCTGGGATTATAGGCATGCCCCAGCACTCCAGCTTGATAAGTGGATTTTTTACTCTCCCTCCTTAATTTGCCAAACAGTTGTCTTTTTTTTTTTTTTTTTTTTCGTTTGAGCAAGGGTCTTGCTATGTAGTTAGTTAAGGCTGGCCTTGAACTCACTATGTAGAACAAGCTTATGGCTGTCCTGTCTCAGCCTCGTGGTATGCCACCATGCCTGGCCCTGGCAATTTTATTTGGACCTGATTCACATTAAACTTTTCTCAGTGCTCTATTGTGAACTGATCACTGCAGAATTTTAACTACCTTTCAAGAAAGGATTGCATGTTGGGAGAAAATTCTTATTTTTCTGGTTAGATATACAGTTTATGTCTATGTATGTACATATGTAGCATACGTAACATGCTTCAGAAAACAACCTTGAAGATTTATCTTTGTGGATAAGATGAGAATAAATTACTTCACTAAAGTGGAAGCTTACTCTTTAGGACAAGTTAGGACTAAAACATTTGTCATAGATACAATCTTAGTGGATTGTTCCAGCCAGTGGTTTATTTCCTTCCAGAGTTAGAGGCAGTGGAAGTAAGCTGGCATTGGGTTGTAAGCGGTTACTGCACAGCAAAGGCTCTTTTTTCCAAATTGGTAGATTTTTTTCAGGTTTATCTCATAATGCCAGAGTGTGAAGAGTTTGTGATAGTAGCTAGGAAAACAGGATTATGAAACTAGTGCTGCCTCTTGTGTAACCTTGTGTGCTACTTGAACACTCTAGCTTCCATTGGAAGAGGGAGGGATTTCACAGAAACTCTCGAACAGCGTCAAATATCCAATGCAATATCCAATGCACGGTTTAAAATCTGATTTGGTGGCTGGGCCTGGTGAGGTAAAAATAACACTGGGAAGGGGATAGAGAAACTTTTTATTATCTGAAGTACAATCCCTATCGTACACCTTTCCATCCCATTCTTTTAGGTGAATTTGTTTTTAAATTGAGAAATACAGGTTAGTTATAACCCTACTTTCTTTATTATAATTGGTTTTATCTGAGTGGTATATGTAGTGGTACTTACTTCTCAATTATGTAGGGAGAATATTGTGCTCCTTTAACTTTGAAAATATGAAATCTTAAGTATGAGTATTAAGAATAGGGTTCATAATCATTTGGGGGGTATGAATTTCAGAGTCTAGAGAAATGTGTATGTAAAATTTTGAATACATTTTGGTCTAACGGTATCCCCTAATTTGTTGCCTTTTACCATACCAATTCCATGTCTTTTCTGACAAAGTATTATTAGCTACGGGGTTAATACTTACTGAAGAAAACTCACTAGCTCAATATCAGGCACACTTATATATTTAATAAGTAATAGTAAAAATTATTGCTTGTATTATGATATTGGTATCGTTAATATTGCTGCACACAGTTATGTTCACCTATGGTTTTGTCGTAGTATTTATTGTGGTGGCCAAGTATAGATATGTATCTTTTCAAATCTTAAATTATGGGTAATTATATTGGGCAAGAAGAGGAACAGTTTTATTAGTTGTCATTAACAGTCTTATTGATGTTATCACCTAATGCATGTTGGTAAGTAAAAAGTTATGGTCAAGAGGTTAAGCAGAAAAATCTAGAATTGAATCTTCTGTGTTACTCTGATCCTATGGTGCCTGCCTTAAGGGCAGACAAAGGAAAATAAAACCAAAAAAGGGAGAGTTAATTCTTTAAATATAATTATTTAATGTTACTGTGTTTTGGAACTATCATGAGATCACTATTCCCTTCTACCCCAAGCACTGGGAATTGAATTCAAGACCCTGTGTTTGCTAGACAGGTGCTTATGCCACTGAGTTATAGCCCCAGCCCCAGAGGCCACTATGTTTACTATATATCACTAGTAGTGGTAAATTTACTATGTATCTCTAGAGTGGTAATCACAACCTGTAGAAATGTTCATGAAAACGTTTCTGATACTACTTTATCACTGTAAACAGGACAGTAGGACAGTTTTAAGTCAGTAAGAAATCTGATTAATTTTGTAAATATAGGTCTTTATCAGAAGCTAATGTTTTGAAGAGACTCTACTTAAACACCGTTGCTTTGTATTACGTGAAGTGATGGGGAGAGGGGAAATGTCTCGGGGGAGTCCTCCTAATCTGGTGTCTTTTGCTTTCATTCCTTGTTTGCAGTTAGACATTTGCAAGATTTAATCCTTCCTTCCCCCTCACCATAACCATGGTTTCTGTGGATTTTTTTCCTCCATGTTTTCTGGTGTTAACTGCTGAAAACAGAACAGCTCTTGTCACTCCGTTCTTTAAAAGCCGGCTTAAGCTTCCACTTGCTGGTTTCCATACCTGCCCAGCACCTGCTGGAGAACATCTGTTTTCTTCCTGCCCTCCCTTTTCATGTACCTTTCCTTCCCACTTAGGTAATAGTCTACTACTTGTTACAAAGTATATGCTTTAATGCCTTTTTCTTTTTTACTTGAATGCAAGGTGAATTACACAACAGGTTTTTTTTCAGAGTGCCTGTGTTGCCTTCCAAGAAGGCTATTTCTGGTTTCATTTTTATCAATTAAAATATGACATGTTGCATATATTTTCTCAGATGAGTATACTGCTGATTTTTTAAAAAGTTAAAAAACCTACCTTTTTGTACCTGAAAATTATGAGGTATGTATAAATTTATAGTAAACTGTTTTGTCCTTGAGACTTTTAAATTGTGTTTCTAATAATGTGATTTCCCTATATAAATACTGAAGCAGTCTTCCTGGGAGCAGGCCTACACCAACTTTTCTTACCTGCATCTAATACTGTATGACAGAATTACAGTCATGGATACATGTATCATAGGGTTAGACATCAGTGTTAACTTGCTGGTCTTTTTCTCTCTTTTAGCCTGCTCTTGAGGTTCACAGATGACACTTTTGATCCAGAACTTGCAGCCACGATAGGTAAGCATAAGCTTAAAAATTCAGTAGAGATGCTATGTATTTTCTTGCTTTTGGGCTGTTTTGTCAATATCCCACTACCTTTGTTCACGATCCCACTGCTTTCAGGTCTGTTAAAATCTTACTTGTCTTTCTAGATCTCACCTGAAAAACACAGCTTCCTTACTGCATATCTTGTGGTACTTTATTGATCTCGCTGATACAAATCCCACATATATACCATTCCTGCCTTTTATTTTGTAGCCTAGAACAGTAATTTCAGTATTTATTGCGTGTCAAGCACTGTCCTGAGTGGTGCGGCTGTAATGATTAATAATGCAAACTTGGTCTGTACCATTGTGGGCCTCATGGTGCATTACCTTAATTTTGTTATTCTTAATGTGTGGTAGAATATTTGACTGGTATTCAAAACATGGATATTTGTTCATATTTGTTGTTAAAGATTGTCAGAGCTGGTCATCGTGGTACACACCTTTAATCCCAGCTCTCTGAGACTCTGAGGCAGGAAGATGGCACGATGGAGCCTTGCCTGGGCAATATATATCTATGTATCTAAGTATAGATATATATAGATGGAAATGCAGTGCTGCTTAGAGTGACTACCCTAAGTTCAATCCCATTACATTAAAAAACAAAAAGATGCCTAGTAGCAATGATACTCAGATGGTTTTTTAAAAAAATAAAATCTAGATATTTTAGAAGTGTTTATCATAGCATGTGAGTAATATCTTGGTATGACATGGTTGTTGTTTTTTTTTTGTCCTTTTTGAGACGGGGTCTCGCTACGCAGTTCAGGCTGGCCTTGAGCTCGCTTTGTAGCCTAGGCTGGTTTCGAACTCTCTATGATCCTTTTGCCTCAGCCTCCTGAGTGCTGGGATTACAGGTGTGAGCCACCACGCCAGGCTCAGTATGACATGTTTTAAAACAGCATAAAGATAAGACATTTTGAGAAGGATAAAGTTGAGTTAGGCCTGGATAATCCTCTTGGTTTTGACTCAAAAGAGGTGCAATACTTAAGTCGTTTGATTTCATTGTTTTCTTTTGTAAATTTGAGAGATTTGGGGGAGAGATAATATACTTTTATACTAATGCTAAAATTTCATGAATTCCAGAGAAAGGATGCAGTGATGATCCTAGTATTATTATTAAGGAAAATAGAAACTTTGTCTTAATTGGCATTGTTTTTATTTACTGAGATAATTTTAGACTTAAAGGTAGATTGTAAAAAATCAGAGAATCCTTATATATCTTACTCACATTTCCCCAATGTTAGTTTGTTATATTTGCTTTATCACTTTTTTCTCTACATAATGAGCACAATATTCTTTCTAATAAGTTGAGAATAAATTGTAAACATGATGTCTTTTATACCTGAATAATTTAATGTGTATTTCTTAAAGGAACACAAATAAGATTCTGTCTGCAGACAGATTTTGCCAGTTATCCCATTTATAGTCTGTGTAACAAAAGGAAACTATTCCTGGACTAGAATCTTGTCCAGAATCAAATATTAAGATTAGTTGTCATTTTGAAGTGGGTTTGTAAACAGTATAGGAATCCAAGCAGCCAAATTGATAAATTTGGGATTTTATTAGCTGAGCTCGGTGACCACCATGAACCCCTGTTTCAGAATCCCACCAAGTGACCCTGAACTGGAAACTGAGTTTTTAAAACAGACAACCACAAAAAGACATCTTGCTGGAAACAGTTTAGCTAGAATCTCACATTAATTTTTGGTTGACACCTGTATCTTGCGTCTTTTGTTGAGCAGGTTAATTTTTCTCTTGTGGATGCAGTTCATTCTACTTTTCTCATGGGACTTGTACCCTGAGTGATTTTCCATTTTCCTGGGTCAAATACAGGACACTGGCTAAATGCAGGGCTAAGATGGCGTCAGTTATGCCAAGCTACAACAATTTCTCTTTAGTCTTTTTAAATGTAAGTGGTTCTTCAGTCTGTCTTGTATGGCTTTGACAGTTTTAAGAGTACAGGGCAGTAATTTCTGTCGTCCCTATGTTTGTCTTGTCCAGGGTGTTCTCATGGTTGCATTCGAGGGTACATTTTTGGCAGGAATTCCACACTAAGTGCTTCCTATGCCCAGGTACACTGTACGTGTTGGTCTCAATACTGTTGATGGAGCTTGATCACTTAGGGGATATATACTCGGTTTCTCTTTTGCCAAGTTATTATTTTTCCCTTACTAACTACAAGATTTCTTAAGGAAAGATACTTTTTGTGTGTGACAGGGTCTTACTATGTAGTGAGGCTGGCCTTAAACTCACACCTGCCTCAGCATCCCAAGTACTGGGATTCCAAGCATGCTATGGAAAGAAACTTTTGAGACTGTGGATATCCTGGTGCTTACTGTACTTTTTGTTGTGTTGTTTTAACGTATGTTGATAAGTCTTACCTGCAGCAGGTAGTAATAGTTGACTGGTTGTCAAAAATAATTTTTTCAAATTTTTTTTTTTTTTGTCTTTTTGAGACAGAGTCTCTCACTATGCATTTTAGGCTGGCCTTGAACTCATAGAGACCTCCTGCCTCAGCTTTCCAAGTGCTGGGATTATAGGCATAGATCACCAGGCCCAGCCTCAAATGCTTTCTTTCTATGTGTATTTGTTATTTGAAATTTTGTAAGGAAGACTATTCTTTGTCTCTATCCATGTGAGCTCACTATATCAAGCATTATTTGGCTTTTATATGACATAAGAGAATCACTTAAAACACTAGTAATTGAAAATCCATTTTAATTTGGCATTCATGTGCTTGCTTCTGTGAAAAATTGTTAGTGATAGGAATACTAACTGCTAGGAAAATTCACATCTGTAGAGTTAAAATTCTACTGAAGAAAGAAACCTAATATAAAGTGTCCTCATTTTAAACTCAAATGAAATGTGGGGACTTACAGAGTGACAAATCATGGATGGTCCTTATTATGGAAAGGATTTGTCTTTTGCCAAAACATACTAAAATTATTGCATGCTGATGAGAGTATATATATAATTTGTTCCTCAAGTGAGTTCTGGGTCTTGAATATCTTTTTAAAAATTACTTACTTACTTTTTTTGTTGTTGTTTTTTTTGGGATAGTGTTTCACTAGGCAAGTCAGGCTGGCCTTGAACTCACTTTGTAGCCCAGGCTGGCCTCAAACTTGCAACAGTCCTCCAGCCTCAGCCTCCTGAGTGCTGGAATGACAGGTGTGGGCCACACTTGGCCTTTGAATATCTTTTAAAAAGTATCTTTTATATCAGAGTACATTCTGCCTCTCATTAAAATCAGTGAGCACATGGGCTTTAGAAATAAAAACAAGTAGCACAATTGTTAATGGCCTTGTGAAAATTAGTGTTATGTAAAAAAATAGTTTTTTACTCTTAATAAAATAGTAAAGAATCCAATTATTTTTCAGTAAAACAGTTAAGTTATTCGCTAGTATAAAAAACTAAGCTAATTCTTAGATTTTGTGTTGATGATGATACTGTAAAGTTGGTGTTGTGTTTTGCGGCATTTAGCTAAAACAACAAACAACAGAAGGAGCAAAAACTAAAACAAGAAACCCAGTAGTTGTCTAAACTAGAAAACAACTAAAATGCCAGGACACTACGTGGTGGAGTCACCGCCAACCTCAGGGAGTTTAACTGTGTCACCGTGGAAGAAGCAGGGCGGGGTTCCCTTACTGGGGACAGAGCTCAGGCTGGGCCTGAAAGGCCTTTGGCAGCTGAGGCGCTGTGGAGGTGGAAAGTCTAAATCCTTGGCTTACAGAAGCAACAGGAACTCCTGGATAAGGGCAGGAGCTGCCCTAGGCTGGTTTGATTCTAAGAAGATGGGGAGATGCAGCCAAGAAGTCACGCCAGGGAAGCATTTTCCCAGGAAGCGCTCTCTGTCCACAGGGCAGTGGGGCAGGAGGTGGCTGTGCATTGTGATAACCCCAGAATCCTGTCTCCTGTGGCTGATGAGAAGTGAAGCACAGTGCCTCTGCAGTAGCAGTCATGGGCAGTTCTGAAAAAAAGAACTCATTATTGTAAAAGCCTGTGGGTTGGCTTTGCAGCATCAGTCTCGGATTTGGTAAGAAAGTAAATTGTAAGTTGAAAAGTAGAAATTTTGTAATATAGAGTCTCTGATAATTTATTTTTGTTGCTTATTTTGACCCATTATGTTCCTGGCTGTGAATTGACAGAACTTACTTCAAATTATCATGCGTTTAAAAATGAAGGCTTTTTGGGGTAGTCAGTTTTTTCAGTATTGATATGATGTATTGAAATGTTCATATAATCTCATAATGGACGCAGTAGTCAGGATGCCAGACACTTCCATCATCCCCAAACTACCTTCCTCACACCTTAGTCCCTCAGGGCACGGAGAGGCAGTTCCCACCTGGACCTGCCTCCTTTTACCCCTCAGCCCCTCTGAACCCCAGCATAAGGCCTTCTGAAGCCGCTGGCGACACTGACAGTTAGCTCTGGTTTCCTCTTTTTGATATCAGTGGGTACTCAGCCCAGGGCCTTGTGCTTCCTAGACAAGAGTTTTGCACTGAGCTATAATTGTAGCCTTTTTTCTTTTGTTGGAATTTTGAAGCAGAATCTTGCTAAAGTTGTTCAGACTGACCTTGAGTTTTTAATCCTCTTGTCTCAACTTCCCTAGTAGCTGGGAATATAGACATGTGGCATAATTTTGTCTTTTTTGAGAATATCACATGAGTGGAATTATGTAGTTAATGTAATCTTTTTAAACTGATGTTTTTTTCCATTTTGTTTTCTTTCTTTCTTTCTTTCTTTCTTTCTTTCTTTTTTTTTTTTTTTTTGGTACGGTTACTTTAATTCAGGACCTTGTGCTCATGCCACTGAACTATATTCTTGGCCCCCCCAAACTGGTTTCTTTTACTTAGGCTGGTGCCTTTGTGCTTCTCCAAGTTGTTAAGTCATTTGTTACTTTTTATTGTTGAATTGAATTCTATTGTGTGGATGTACCACAGTTGGTTTATCCATTTACTAGTTGTAGAACATATG